GACACTGGCCAGCTCTTCCCGCCACTTACCTGTTACCCAACACACAGGAAGAAACTGGCTCAGCGCGGAGACTGTAAGCTCTCACGAAGGTGTTCGGTGTCCCCCAGCCCACAGCTCTACAGATGTCTGCCAGAGAGGCGCCTGCCGACCTCCGTAGCAGACACAGAGCTGCTCAGAGCTTCTGAAGCTCCGGGTGTGGTCCACGTACACGCGCAGTGCTCTTACAGGACACAGCAACGCCAAGGCTGAATCTGCCTCCTCCGAGGGCAGTCCTTGCAGGTTCACCACCTGATCGTGAAAAGTTGTGGAGGGAACATTGGGCATCCCTCTGAAGGTCAGCCAGGAAAGTATAGAGATCCCAGGAGGGCACCAGGGTTGGCCTAGGAGGATTTAACCTTCTGGCACCCCTCAGGAACCTGATGATGAGACCGTGTCTTTCCAGGGACCGGCCGTCCACTGCATCATGATGTGCTGCGATAGCAGCCACATACACTTTCAAGGTGGAGGGTCTCTGGCCTGAGTGGTAGTGTCTTCCACTGCTGGTGGGAGATCACTTAGGTCTGCCGCGTCCCGTGATCTGGACGCGGGTGCCAAAGGTGCAGAGCCTCTGAGAAAGAAGGTCCTTCCCCAGAGGGATGTGCCAGGGAGGGAGAGAAGCCTCACTGGGGGAAACGCATACTTGCGTAAAGCACGAGGCCAGCTGTGTGCCAGTGCGTCCGTGCCGAGGGGGGCCTCGGTCAGGAAGTAATACAGCTGGCAGTGGGAGGACTCATGGGAGGCAAACAGATGTACCTGAGCTTCCCCGAATCGACTCCAGACCAGCCAGATCGTCTTGGGATGGAGTCACCATTCTCCAGGGAACGTTGAGAGCACATCGGCTGCACAATTGAGCTCCCCCGGGATGTGGACGGCACGCAGCGACTTGCGCCGCCGTGTCTGACTCCAGAGGAGGAGATGGCGGGCGAGTTGTGAAATGCGACGTGATCGTAGACAACCCTGCCAGTTGATGTACGAAATGGTCGCAGTGTTGTCCGAGCGGACCAACACGTGCTTGCCAAGCAGCATCTTTAAAAAGACGCGAGCCGTCCGCGATCAGAAACTGCTCTTTAAAATGAAGCACCCAGGGGAATCGCTGAATTAACAGGGACACCTCTGATTGTGCCGTAACACCACCCAGAACAGCCTCTTCTTCCAGCAGCAGAGAGAATTCGCCTGGTGAATCTCGAAATGTGTTCATTAACGCGGCTCCAAAGCAAAAATCTGATGAGTGAATGCACCTGTCGCCTATTTATACCCGTGTGCACGGGGAGTGGCTCAGCATGCAAAATCCACTAACCAAATTTCATTGCTATTTTCTCTTAATCAGAGAGGATTCGGGCTCCCAAGTAAGACCCCATAATGTCGAGTCATGACATAACTCGTAGTGACCGACAAATAGGGAACTAGAATTTAAAGGCATTCTCAATTCCTTTCAATTTATTGCACACAATCTTGGTGTTTATGTGTGTGTTTATATGTGTTTGTGTGAGGCCAAACAGACCTGAAAGAAGGGCACATCCCCATGTGTAGATGATGATGCCTGCCAAGGTGCAGGTACGCTGGCACTTAGTGAATAACGATATAGAGGAACAGCAGAGCCCAGCTCCAGTTTAAACACATATACAGTAAGGAGACCACCTGCAGAAATTCATAGAAACAGTGGTTAACTACATCAAGGCAGCAGACATCAGATACCATTCCAAAAAATTGGGGTCTTTATATTTATGTATGCATTTATTTATTCATGAAAGAAAGAAATTGTTACTTTTATTCAGCAAGGGCACATTAATACGATCAAAAGTGACAGTACAGACATTTATAATATTACAAATAATTTATATTTCAAACAAACTTCCTGTTCACTAAAGAATCCTAATATACATACTGTACATATAGCTACATATATATAATCATTATTGTAAATTGTAATACAATATTACTGTATTATCTATTTTTAATCAAATAAATGCACCCTTGGTGAACATGTCTTCTTTCAAAAACATGTATAAATATAGCTGCAAGCAGCGATTACTGGGGTTCAAGCACCTTAAGGCAAAAAAGACATATTACATATACAAATACATATTATTTAGCAAGCTCGTAACCACATAAATCAATTATTAAAACAAACATTTTTGGCAATTCCAGGTAATTTACCTTACCAAATATTATGTTTTTAACATTTATAGCTGTTATAGCACCACCTATAGTCAGATCTCCATAAAATTTGGATTGCTTCTTTAGAATCATATGCTGCATGTGCTCACCTAATTTCGTGAAGTTCTGAGTTTTCATTCAAGAATTATATGCTTTTGGGTATATTAGGCCACACCCATTTTCTAAATGACCTTGTTATAGCTAACCAAAGTCAAAGGTTCAACATTTATTTGATTTATTGACCTAGACAGTCCAGAAAATTGCACTGCAGTGGTTTTCTTGAAGTTAAGCAAAAAACCTAGGACTAGTTCAAAAAAGTAGTTCTTTTTAAATAATCTTGAATACTTAACAAACAATTTGATTGACAGCAGTGTTTTTTGAGGCAAAGTTGTTCAGAATGAGGAGATCTATCATATGATATGAATAATGTGTGCATGTGTGAAAAGCTGCGCAATATGTAATCATGTACGCACTTGAAAATTGCAATATCGCCCCCCAGTGGCTGATTTCTTTCAGATTTCTCACAGACCTTTAGGGGCATGAGTCAAACAGGCCCACTGAGTTTAATTTCAATTGGCCCCCATTAACCCCGCCTATTAGGTGCTCAAATTTCATTGGCCAACGGCAGCCATGTTTTTCGAGATACATAAACCTGCTCAAAGACTTTGGACACAGACAATGCATGTGAATTCAATCGGACTAACAGATGCATAGTTTTAGCAGTTATGTTTTGTCCTATTATAGGGCCACACAGTGGCCAGACTCAGATTTTCCTCATGTAACCTCAGACTGAGTTCTTAATATGTGTATCGAGTATGGTGTAAATATCTCATTCCGTTGAAAAATTATAGCTGTTTTAGAAAAAGTGTCCACGCATCTTTCAAAAGTTTTGGCATCCTTTAGCAAAGGTGAATTTGCAGGTCCAGGCCCTTGTCATTTCTAGGCTGGACTACTGCAATGCTCTTCTGACTGGACTTCCATCAAGCACAATCAAACCTCTACAAATGATTCAGAATGCAGCGGCACGACTGGTCTTCAACAAGCCCAAAATAGCCCATTTTACACCTCTCTTTATCTCCTTGCACTGGCTACCGGTTGCGGCTCGCATCAAGTTCAAGACATTGATGAGTACAGACATTTATAATATTACAAATAATTTATATTTCAAACAAACTTCCTGTTCACTAAAGAATCCTAATATACATACTGTACATATATCTACATATATATAATCATTATTGTAAATTGTAATACTATTTCACAATATTACTGTATTATCTATTTTTAATCAAATAAATGCACCCTTGGTGAACATGTCTTCTTTCAAAAACATGTATAAATATAGCTGCAAGCAGCGATTACTGGGGTTCAAGCACCTTAAGGCAAAAAAGACATATTACATATACAAATACATATTATTTAGCAAGCTTGTAACCACATAAATCAATTATTAAAACAAACATTTTTGGCAATTCCAGGTAATTTACCTTACCAAATATTATGTTTTTAACATTTATAGCTGTTATAGCACCACCTATAGTCAGATCTCCATAAAATTTGGATTGCTTCTTTAGAATCATATGCTGCATGTGCTCACCTAATTTCGTGAAGTTCTGAGTTTTCATTCAAGAATTATATGCTTTTGGGTATATTAGGCCACACCCATTTTCTAAATGACCTTGTTATAGCTAACCAAAGTCAAAGGTTCAACATTTATTTGATTTATTGACCTAGACAGTCCAGAAAATTGCACTGCAGTGGTTTTCTTGAAGTTAAGCAAAAAACCTAGGACTAGTTCAAAAAAGTAGTTCTTTTTAAATAATCTTGAATACTTAACAAACAATTTGATTGACAGCAGTGTTTTTTGAGGCAAAGTTGTTCAGAATGAGGAGATCTATCATATGATATGAATAATGTGTGCATGTGTGAAAAGCTGCGCAATATGTAATCATGTACGCACTTGAAAATTGCAATATCGCCCCCCAGTGGCTGATTTCTTTCAGATTTCTCACAGACCTTTAGGGGCATGAGTCAAACAGGCCCACTGAGTTTAATTTCAATTGGCCCCCATTAACCCCGCCTATTAGGTGCTCAAATTTCATTGGCCAACGGCAGCCATGTTTTTCGAGATACATAAACCTGCTCAAAGACTTTGGACACAGACAATGCATGTGAATTCAATCGGACTAACAGATGCATAGTTTTAGCAGTTATGTTTTGTCCTATTATAGGGCCACACAGTGGCCAGACTCAGATTTTCCTCATGTAACCTCAGACTGAGTTCTTAATATGTGTATCGAGTATGGTGTAAATATCTCATTCCGTTGAAAAATTATAGCTGTTTTAGAAAAAGTGTCCACGCATCTTTCAAAAGTTTTGGCATCCTTTAGCAAAGGTGAATTTGCAGGTCCAGGCCCTTGTCATTTCTAGGCTGGACTACTGCAATGCTCTTCTGACTGGACTTCCATCAAGCACAATCAAACCTCTACAAATGATTCAGAATGCAGCGGCACGACTGGTCTTCAACAAGCCCAAAATAGCCCATTTTACACCTCTCTTTATCTCCTTGCACTGGCTACCGGTTGCGGCTCGCATCAAGTTCAAGACATTGATGCTTGCATACAGAACAGCCACAGGCTCAGCACTCGCCTACTTCC